GAGGCGCCGCTCAGAGCCCGAGGTGACCGTGGCCACAGCCACAGCCCTGGTATGTATGGCACGGCACGGCCCTGACGCCAGCTCACCTGTCACCGCAGTCAACTGAGGACTGGGAGGCCGTGGTCAGCGTCAGCTCCCGGGTGCTGCCCACCAGCCCTCGCTGTGGGAACCTGCTGCCCTCCGAGCAGATGTACCGTGAGAGCCTGCCCCACAGCCAGAGGTGAGATGGGGTGGGATGGGATGGGATGGGAGGGGATGGGGTGGGATGGGGGTGGGGATGGGGTGGAATGGGGATGGAACTAGGATGGGATGAGAATGGGGTGAGGATCAGGACAGGGATCAGGACAGGACAGGAGCAAGGACAGCCCTGCCACAGTCCCAGAATTAAGGGATAGGGATGGGATGGAAACAGGGACAGTCCTGCCACGCAGGTGAAGGATGGGGATGGGGACAGGGACAAGGAAGGTGGCCAGGTGCTGCTGCTGTGCCCTGGCCCTTCCTATGGTTCTGTTGTGCTTGTGCCCTGACACCTGCCTCTGCACAGGTACGTGCTGCTGTCCCGACCCTTCTGCTTTGAGCCCAGCACCCCCTACGAGGTGACCATGAGGCTTCAACGGGCTGGTGTCACCCAGCGCCACCCTGGCGCTTTCATCCTCATCGACTCGGTGAGGGCAATCACGCTGCACCCCACATCTGGGGCTCGGCAGGGGTGGGGTGATGGGCAGGGATGGGGGACCAGGGGCTGGGGTGGGCAGCACAGCCCCTCTGGGGCTGCATGTCCAGCACCCCCTACGAGGTGACCATGAGGCTTCAACGGGCTGGTGTCACCCAGCGCCACCCTGGCGCTTTCATCCTCATCGACTCGGTGAGGGCAATCACGCTGCACCCCACATCTGGGGCTCGGCAGGGGTGGGGTGATGGGCAGGGATGGGGGACCAGGGGCTGGGGTGGGCAGCACAGCCCCTCTGGGGCTGCATGTGGGGTGGGGATGGGAATGGGATGGGGATGGGGATGGGAATGGAGATGGCGATAGGAATGGGATAGGAAAGGGGATCAGGAAGGGG